CGGCGACCTTGAGAGGATACGATACCCTGCCTACTGTCCAAAACAGAAATCGAATCTGATTCCGAATGGACTGCAGTTTTGCCGGCTGATCCGCATAAGAGGCACAAAGGAAGTGAAGTCAGAGGACAAAACCTCATGCGCCAACAATGGCTTGCATAAACTGATACTTATGAACAAAGACAAAAAATCTGAGCCATCTATTTAAGCACCAAGTGCTAAGACATTCAAAGACAGTGAGAACCATAGAACGGATAAGTTAGGTGGTATCATGCATCATGAATTATTTACCATGTCGCCGACACGCATTACTTTATGACAGCAGATGCATTGGGTCAGAATGGGAGCGAGAGGGTGTTTGGGGTTTTGACAAAGTGAAGCAGAATAAATATCACACATTCTTCTGCATATTCGACTGAACACTTTGAATGCGATGGCGGTACCACGGATATCAAAATGAAAGTTCAGATTACCCTCAAATGCGCCTTTTAACACAATAACACAAGGGGAACTATGTCATAGCAATGCTCATTCTTCGGGGAAAATAGAGTTTACAAGCAAAGGGTGGAAGTGAAGAAGAAATAGCCAATGCATAATAGAGGTTGAAAGTAGTCGAGAAAACAGAGGCGACCGACCATGCGCGTTGGATGGAGGCCTTTGTGGCTGAAGATGATCATAAGCTAATGGAGTCGGGTAAATTGCAGAAGGCCCCTTGGCATGTGACAAGGGTTGGCCTCTTCGATGTGACGAAGGACAGTTAGGATGGTGTACTTTGAAGCCATTGATTGAAATCCTCAGCAAAGTGCGATTGCCACACACTAAAGAGTCAATTGCTGCCATGCACGCGACAGGATGTGAAGGGGTCTACCATAGGGCATTGCCAATTCTGGCGAACACTATCGACACACCAAGGTACAAATGAAGGAGTTAGGAGCTTAGGATGAACAGATGACATGCCTGATATGTCGTGTGGAGGGGTAGTTCAGAGATGAGCCATCGCTTGTTACACGCTTTGGCATTCAAATCGGCTAATTTTAGGCCACTCAAGTAAACCATCCTGGCAGTCAGTGGGGAGGTGACACACAAGAAGCATGGGTGGGTTTCGCAATGTTTGCGTGAGGCTACTGTTGACAGCGGAGCACATGGAGGAATGGCGATCATGTGGAATTCAGCCTTACTATCCCATACTTGTTGTTACATATTTTTTAATAGGTAGATTTTGTTATTGCTTTATAACATCCTTGGATATTAACTGCGAACTTGATCAGTATATCTAAGTTCTATATGCACAGACGGAAGATTTTATGTATAAGTAATTATGCCCGAGCCCATCAGCCACATCGGATTACCGCGTAATCGAATCACCTTGCCCTAAGGTAGATTTAATTCTTTATTATACTTGTTGGTGTGGTTGCTTCGATGAGGTATTTATTATTATTATTTTTATGCGCACTTGTTATTTCATGAACAAGTGCGCATAAAATTTATATAGGATCGAGTATAAGTTGAAGTTCTGACATTGTCCTAGAACATTACCTTTTTAAATGTACGATTGACGTTTACGATTTAAATGAATTACTGTACATGATTTGAATCTTCGTCTTTGAAAATGCCATAGAAGTATCATTCTTGACTTTAACTGTCGACTATTTTAATTTGATGATTGGAAAAACATACAAGTGTGCTGCATGATTTCGCAAAGTGCTCCTCGACTGACATACATGTTCCGATTTATAGCAGAGCCAGAGCCTATATTACAATTTGTCTTGAGTCGGTCGTGCAGCTCTTCCTTGTAATGAACGCCTTTTGCGAATTGCAGGTAAGGTGGCTTATTTCTGCCTAGGTGGCCGACCTCTTCTAATTGATACGTCCGAAGACAACTCTATCTCTGCTACCTTATCATACTTACAAGTTCATTTCTCTGACACAGATAAAGGTCAACATCACAGGCAGGAGGTCTACCCTCTGGTAGTCGAACAGTAAGTCTTCGCATACAGGACAGCGAGGTTCACCTCACTCTC